TCCAGCACATTATGTATACACAGTTGCCTGGACTGCTATTTCTGTGCTCCTTCCTATCTACACACACTTTTGTAGAAGTCACCTAGTATTTCTGAGTTTGGCAGGGATGAGGAGAGAACTGCAAGGTAGGCACCAAGCAGATATTCATATATTAATTATTTTTACTACAGGAACTGTTAGTCAATATGTGGCTTCAACATTAAAAAGTCAAAGTCTGAAGTTTATTATGAAACCTATTTCATAACATCTTTTCCCTTCATAACACAAAATTCCGCAGAAGAGTCTGCCTGGAAAGCACTTTACCACTATTCTTAGTCAGTGTGGATGCTTTAGAGTCAGACACAGCAGTTTAAATAAACAGAAAATCACTATTCCTACATGTGAAATAGCAAATACTTTGAGGTTTTTTCCACACAGGAAATTAATAGGCTCTTGAATAAGACATTCATAGCTCAACACAAGCCATCCATTACTTTTGGTAAGGGACAGTACAATACAGAGCCAAATAGATGTATCTTAACTACTAACATACTGACCCATATTTAGAAGCAGTGAAGTTAAATAAGTGGGATCACCTGCACAGGCTGGTTAGCTTACCCACCCTGTGCTATGCAGAGATACCCCTCATCACAGAATCTGAAGTTCCATTTCCATCATCTGGCATGATTTTCAAAGCTTTAAACGCATCTTTGCACCTTCTCCCACTGAAAAAATCTAAGCATACTGGTTTTCAGTAAGCACCATTTTAAACTATGTTCCTTTAAAACATTAAGAAACACATAAATGTGCTACACATGCACAGAAGGAGGAAGTCTAAAGCCTTCAGAAATCTATCTAAACACTGGGATCGGTGATTATTAAAGACTTTTGTTCATAGTAAAACTAATGATTTTTTCCTTTATTAGTTTGGCAAAGTGTTTGATTTGGCACCATATAATACTTTGCCTGCTTTGTAGCTATAATCCTGGAATAGTAACTAAATCCACAAGACTCTTGTCATTCTGCTCCATTCCTAAATGGAAGAGAATCACGACTATAAGCACTCCCTGTCCACAGGACATAGAGAATATGTTTATATAAGTTAAACTTGAAAGTTCTATAACAAACACCTGATGCATTCCAGCAGTTTTATAACTTTTAAATAGCTGTGTATACATTAAATATATCCAGCAGACCGATTCTTAAATCTTTCATCTGTTTATAGACCAAATGACATTACTGTTCATTCCAGCCAAGTTTCTATTCCAGCCAAGATTCTACCAGAAAGTAGCAATAAGCAAAATTCAACTTCATGATTGCTTATATAACATTCCAGTATCTAAACAGCCAGAAAGCTAAAAGAACGCACAGTAATTTTTCATTTCTTTTCTGGTATAAAATTAAGAACTGCATCTTGAACTTTATCTGGGTCTATACTAAATGGAAGTCCTGCAATTGCTTTGAACAAACCTACTCCAATATAGCAAGAGAGCAGGATCCAAATTCACACAAGAAAGGATCACTTTGCTATGACAAAACAGTTTTCTCCTAATTTTCCAAGACAGGCTGTATTTTCTGTGGTTTATTATAAATTCCCCAAAGATACCCAGGGCTCATCAGCCTCCTACACACCATTAAAATAGGTCCTCCATTCCAAAAGAAACAGGAAAAGCAGTAGGAGACAGTACCAGTGATATTCTGTTCATGATAAAGCTGTTCTTTTCATTCCTCCTATATCATGAGCAGACAGTCTAAAGCTGTCAGGGAGTTGGAGTGAAAACATAACAGTTGACGTGAAAATGAAAAATAAGTGTTGATGTCTCATGAGCTAAGAATTTGGATCAAAGAGAATCCAAAAATATCAGCAAAGTTGTCTGTATATCATCAATATTCCTATGAGCAGATCCTCAGCTGGAGATCTGCCCCCTACACTTCATCCTGTGTACTAAGCAGATTTGTACAATGATTCTGTCTTTCCCCAAGACATAATCTTCCCTACAATCATATAGGAAAAAAAGGGGGGCAATAAACTCCAACCTATAAAAAAAAAACTTGTGCCAAATTAAATGCCATGCTATGTAAATGCCAGTCAAAACAGGACTGGTGTAACCAGGCATCCCAGTCCTAGTAACACAAAAGCAAGGAATTTAATGTTTTTTGCAGAAAGGAATACTTAAAGGCAGCTGGACAACTTGAACCATTTAGGTTGAAACAAGGCAAGCCAGGGAAGTACTGGCACATGGTATTAGTACAAGAGAACCTATTCTATCTGCATTAAGTGCCAACAGTGCAACATTCAAAAGGTCTGCAAATGGTCATTTTTGAGACAAAAAATATCCAGAGGAATTAAAAAATAGCAGTGGAATATACTTCAAAACACAGTTTAAGCTTTGCCAGTTCAGTAATCATTTCCAGACTGAATCCCTCTCACCTTCCATCATTTCTCTAATACAAGATACCCTTTAACAGGCATTCTACAAGGTTTGTCTTTGAGATCAACAGAGCATTACTTCAGCTTTTCTTTTTTGAGCATACTTTTGTAGTCAGAAAAGTAAGCTACATATTTTGAGTATTTGTGTTTTAAGAGAAAATAATTGTAAAATAAAATTACTCCTAGCATCTCAGAAGAGCTATGGGAGATAATTACAGAAATATACTTACAACTGTCAATAATACTTCTCTTTTGGAGAGAAGCTTTTATCCAAAGTGATAAAAGGTGACAATTTTCAGTATGCTGTGGTTGTTAAATAAGCTAATTTTAACAAGAACAAAAAAAATAAGTTTAATGTTAGCAAATGTGTTCACAAGCTACAACATAATAAAAACCCTTTATATTTTAGGTTTCCTAAGCAATTGAGAGAAAATCATGATAAAAAAAAAAATCCTATTTTTTTAAAAATTCTTCTAGTCTGATTTAAAGTTTTCTAAAGTACAGAAACACACAGGAAAAAAAAGATCAGAGTAACCCTTCAGTCAACACAGGCCCCCAGTATGAAATTTGTTAGGCAAACCCAAAGGAAGCTACTGTGAACACTGAAAAGAACTCAAGAAGCTCACAACCCTGTAAAATGATTTTGTTTATGGATATGTTGGGAGGCTGACAAAAGATGTTTGTAAGGAAAATAACCACAGTTATTATTAAGCTACTGTATATTCCACTGTGAGCCAAACACTGGGAAAAATAAAGTCAGCAGGAAGTTAGCTGTGCAGTAGAGATGATCCTGCAGATCAGAGATGATCCTCAAGTATCATAATGATGCCAGACATTGCCAATATGCACCACAAGTGACATCCATCATTGAAAAATTGCTCTATCAAAATAAGCATTTGCTACTATATCTGTTTATCTGAACACCTCTTCAGGTAGCCTAGAGTTCACAATTCTGGAAGTAAATATAGTAGCATTTTTTCCATGGCCTTTACTTCCTTTTGGCATAGTACCTTTTTTTGTAGGATCTAGCTCTTCCATTTATATACAGAAAAAATACACACAATATACTGTTGTTTCAACAACTGTTTTAATATACATCTCTTGATTCAGTTTCTAGCCTAGTCCACCAAAAAACATGTAAGCAATACTTCCATACTAAATTATGTGCTTCATTTGAAAATGTTTCTCAGGCACTCGAAACACACATTAAAAAACACACACAAAAAAACAAACCAACAATACCAAAGAACTCCACCAACAGAAAAACTTTGGTCATGACAACAGAACCACTTGCTTCGGTCAGGTGTTCTCAGAGACATGCTATGCCCAGTTACTTGGGTGAATTCTTTCCCCATGTTGAGCATATTTGGGTGAAATGAACCAGGCATCAACTCGGGTCTCTCTCCAAAGCAAAATTTGCAAGCAAAAACATCTGAGAAAGATTCTGAAAGACTCTGAAGAACAAAAAGTGAAGCATACATATGTACAACACCTTGAAGGACTCCTGTAATTACTAAGCTCCACTTTTATCTTTAAGTGGTTGTATACATGGACTATGACTGGCATCCAAGAAATAACACCCACGTTGTCAGAATTATTTTAGGTAAGGCCTCAACATGAACAGAAACTGCTGAATCATTTTTCCAAACACAAAACTATTTCTGTGTATCTCTGCCATTACAATGCAAATGCACATGACCTCCAGCAGGCTCTTCAGCTGCAAAAAAACGCACACAGGTTTTCTTCCGTATTGTCAGTGACACAGCTTTATTTACTTGGTTGTACTCTGATCAGATAATCTTAGGTTTTATGATAGATTTTTGAGTCAATCATTAAATGAAACAAAGACTAAGACCATCAGTGTTGAGGGTGCCTGATTATCAGAACAGTCCTACAGCACACGACTCATACTAATTCTAGATATTTCATGTGAAATATAATGTCCAAATAAACTGAACTTGATAACCTCACAAAGTATCTTAGTTCTCCAAGGATAGAACAATGTTTCACCAATGTCTAGTAATTTTTCTAGGTAATTGTAAAACTAAAACTCTCACTAAAGTAACTTGAGTTAAAGCCAATGATGACTGAGAAACAGAATCCTGAAAATCAGCTTTATTTGCTTTCTGTGAAGCCAAAAATCATCATTTTGCATTTTAATTGTGCTCCATCCCTGGCAGTGTTCAAGGCCAGGCTGGACAGAGCCTTGGGCAACATGGTTTAGCAGGAGATGTCCCTGCCCATGACAGGGGGGGTGGAACTAGATGATCTTAAGGTCCTTTCCAACCCTAACTATTCTATGATCCTATGATTCTAAACTGAGGCACTACTTACATAAGCCCATGATTAGCTATCTTCTTGGCATTACACATGATGTTTGCTGAGAGACTGAAGAGCTAGCAGTGTAAAACATCAGCAATTCTGCATTGGCTCTGCCTTTCTGAATCAGACACCTTCACTAGTAGGGCAATAGCAACACACTGCCAAGCATAAACTGGGTCAAAACCCGGACAGGACAACTTAGAAAACTTCTGTAAGAATCTCTGGTCATTGTAACAGCCAAGCTTCAAACATACAGTTCAGCTTCAAACATACAGACATGTTAACTCATTCCTCACAAGAGGAAAAAGCCTGAACAGAAAAGATCATAAACCTGGGAGAGATACCAAACTGATGATGAGAAACAGAAGTAATCCACATATGATCATCAGCAACTTTCTATCCATATCACATAGGTGACCATTTCCAATAACATTGTGCATAGACAGAATAAAATTTGCTCACACTAGATGTGAAAGACATGTACACCTCCAAATAGTACCCTTCCATCAGCAAAGACTGGATGTCTTTCAGAGGGGGAAGTCCAAAGAAATAGATGAAGTTCTTCTCTCACTGAGAACAACCTTACAAGAAAGGAAGTCCCTCCAATGACTGAGCACAGTCAGCTCAAACTGCTGAGCATCAAATCCACAATGTTGGCTTTTAAAGAAGGTTTTTGTATCCTGTTGCATAAAAGAGTCAAGAGCCAATATAAACTGAATCTTTTGCCGTAAAATAAAATGTGATCTCTTCAACTGTAGAGAAGTGAACTACTGCAGATATAAGGTTTGGGTAGAAGTTAAGGTCTTACCTGCTCAATCATAACAGCTAATTGGGTCTGTGCAATGACTCTTGCGCATATCCAGAAAGTTTCAGTGCCCTACATTCTATCATCTTTGCTGGGTATGAAGGCCACTGCTACATGGTCATTTTCCATTATAAAACACTTGCCTCTGCCTCAGTTTTCTAACATTTAATTTTTGTAGGACAGTAACAAAAACTACAGTATTTCTTAAGAGACATGAAATCAAATTACAAAGTTCTGCTTTTGTCTACGTAGCAACCATGTTAACAGAATTAAGACAAAATCTAAAAATACATTTTAACTGTCTTCACAACTGGAAACATACCTTGTTCTAGAGATGACCTGAGTATCTTACAGATTACAGACTGACTGAAGACCCATCAGCTTCTTAACACCGTATTTCTGTGTTTGGAAGAAAAATAATCAGGAAAGTCCCAGCCAAGGAGAATCACTCTGGCATCAGGCATGTAGCCTCATTATAAGAATGTAAAGAGAACTCCAAATGAATGGGCTTTTGAATGCCTGGGCAGATGCACTCACAGTATTAATGCATATAAGCAGATATTCAAATATATTCATATATAGAATTGCTTTTGAAGACTGAGAACCCACATCATTTACTATAAAAGGACAGTGGATCTAAACTCTGTATTATCCAGTTTTCAAACTATTTAATAACAGAATCTGTTGCTAATGAAAAAGCAAATATGTTGCCGTTTTGGCCAAATCTGTTAGAGATGTTTAAGTAACATTCACAGAAACAAAATACAAGAATAGAAACTGTCTATAATGTTGTTCTCAGTAAGGATCCTATTTATTCAAATTTCACTCCTGTGATGCAAAGGATAATTGTAATTATGACAGCATAAAAAATTCAAGTGACTGGAGTGTTTTTCATTATCACTGTGTGTGACTTACATATGTCAATAATAGCAGTATGATTTTAATATGGTGCGCTGTACAGAGACATTTTAAGAGAAGATTTGAATGGGAACTCCAAGCATCTGTTTATAAGCAAAAAATTTCATCTCACTTATCTGCCTATAACTGACTGCATTGATGGATGCCTTGTCCAGTGCATGTGGTGTACAACTGTTGAAAGATTAAGGGCAAGACATCAGAGAGGACAGGGGAAAAAAAAAAAAGATGCTGAGGATCAGGCAGTCCATCTGCTTTGGCCATACAACAGATACTATCATGTAACTAAGAGGCCAAATTTTAGTCTGCTTCAGCAACTGGGTCATCTAAAAAGCAGTTTCAAATTCTACTCACCAGTACACATTTAAGACTTTCATGAATTATCTTTGGATATATTGTTTCACTTAAAATACAGCAAGACAAAAGCGCGAGTTCCAGGTTTTGTTTATGCAACAGGCTCCTTAAGTATCACGTAAGATAGGATGTGTTATTTTTGTATCTGACTTAAAGAATAAATGGTTTGCTGACTATGAACTTAATACTACATAATGTGGAGGGCTGTAATCCCATGGGTTTTCATATCCTCTACTTAAAAATGTATATATAAATACACAAGCATGACAGCTAATAACAGTGCTTTTGTTTATTTTTAGATCTTTCAGAGAACACAAATACTCATTATTACACACAAGTCACAAGGAATCAAGGACAGTTGAAAAAGAACCCATGATATGTTATCTTTCAAGAAGCTTGCTGAGCAGCTTCTAAGAGTTCCTCCTTTAGAGCACACTGAAATGCCTGAGTTAAAGTACTGCATGGATTTCTACATATGATGAGATGTCATAATCAAGAAGACGAGCTACAATAAGAAGCTACAAACAGCTTGGATAATATTTTCTCAGCATAGCACTACATAAGAAAAAATAGGAAGTCTTGAAGTTACCAGCAGCTACCTTGTTCTTAAGTGGAACACAGTTTCATCCTGTAAAAGTTACATATTTCTAGAAGAATTTGTATGTATTTTCACCTAGCTTGGTTTAAATACATAGGAAATTAACCAGATGATTATCAAGTTTTAACACAAGAGTTTGCCACTAACACTTAAAAACATCTTGACATTTCTCAGAAGCATTTTTCCATGGTTCAAGCAGCCAGGTTACAGGTTAAAGGGCTGAATCCTGCAAATATTCAGGCTATAAGCCTATTTTCTGAATATATATACTGCTCCAAGTAAGTTTGAAGAACCTTGTCCTATATTCCTGGGTTTGAACTCTTTGGCTACAGTAAGCTCTTTCTTACCATTTCTAACACACATTGTCAATACCTATGTTGTATAAAAGAATATTCTCAGCCCAACATCCAATAGCCATTACATTTTTAAGTCTTTCTTGAAGCTGGTACCCATAATTTATTTTTGAGAAACCATTTGCTAATACAAGCTTTTTCCCCCCATGCAAAGTGATCTATTACTGTCAAATTTTCTATGTGACTGTTACACATCAACAAACTGGAAAGCAACCTAGCTTTTCAAATTGGATGTCTTCCTTTAAATAAACCATACAAAGAAAATTAATGTATTGCTTTTTCATTCAAATGTCTCCCTTCATGATCAACGGCTGATATTCCCCACAAACAATTTGTGGTATCAGAAAGTTTGTCTTTGACATAATTCTAAAAATAGTATTTGTTCACAGTTATTAGATAGTGACATCAAGCAAAGCCTTGAACTGGAAACTTGACAACAGTGAGATCAGCAATACTGCAGGATTCTTTCAGAACCTAGCCTTGTGGCTGTCAGCTCAGAATTCTTTTGTTATGTTTGTTGTTTGTAGTTGTTTAGTGACACTTAGCATCTCCATAGATACTAAAGACATAACCAACTTGAGTATTCCGCTGTGTATATTTTTCCTGCCTCCTGCATGAAAAACAATGCTGCTGCTTCCACTTACCCATGGCACCCCACCATGTACATTGAAAGGTTCCAAGGGAAGTCTACCTTGTGTTTAATTCAAGTACTTAAGTTTTGCATAGAAACAATCATGTTAGACACACAAAGCTCTGATGGTGAGCCACATAATGTGAGATAAATACATTAATGACTGTGTAAGCACTCTGATAGCACCACAATTGCAGTTGTAAGAGAGAGGGAGCTTATTTTAGTTTCCTGTCAAGTACATTGCATTAGTGTCTTCTGAGCCAACATAATGCTTATGCAGTAGGCACCAAGAGTAGAGCTCTGTTTAGGTAGCTATAATAGCTGAATTTCTATAATGAACAATAAACTTTTCAATTAAGTTGTGGCTTTGGAGACAAAAATGTTTCTCATGGATTTCCTGTGCATCTACGCTGCCTGTAAGGATACCAACAGAGCAGATAACTGTTTCTGGGTTTAATTTCATGCACCCTACTAAGCTCTATCTGCCACAGCCAACCTGTTACTTGTACATATTTTGTCTAAGATTCAAACTAGTTTGAGTTTGTTTACACTACATCTTTAATATTTCAAAGATTTCTTAAAAATTGGAACAAATGATTTATCTGTTTATCCAGGAAGCTCCATTACAATCACAAAATGCAAACATGGCCAATTGGTGTTTCCTCAGCCACATGAGGCCTTCAGCAGCTCAAGTGAAGCACTAAAAATGTGGTTAAATCACTCAACTAGCACACGGCTGCCCTGAGCTACTGAATATTCCAAACCTACAGCTCTTAGTTACCACCCATAGAATAAATATACTGTCCATCTCTCATTAGCTGATTAAAAAAAAAAAAATCTGCAAAGTTCTGATATCCTTGAGTAAAAGAATGCATGTTCGAAGTATTTTCATAATGTTACTTCATATCATTATTGGAAAAAAAATACTATCTTCCATGAGACTTCCTTTTTAAAGTATTCTTTTTATACATTTATAATACCACTTTCATTTCACTTGGCTACTTTAGGACAGGGACCACTCCTAACTTCTTGTCCCGCCTCCATCTCTACACGCTGCCTGACTACCAAACATGGCCTTTTTTACTTCTGAAATTCTCCTAGAAGAAAATGCAGTTTCTTCTCTACATCACTTATATTTTTCCCTACTTCTCAAATCTTTCCAGTGTCAACTTGACAAAAGTACCCCAGCATACTGGAAAGAATCAGTCATCTTTAAATACCTATAAATGCAGAACACAAATATTTATCTTCATTTGTTTAAATCTACTGCGTTAACTGAGATACAATACATAGATCAAATTTTGTTCAGAATGAAAAATACAATAAAAATACATTAAAGAAAAAAATGGCAGTTATATCACCTGTAAAACTGGAAGAAAGAAATCAGTATTTTTCAGAACATGCATCAGTATGGCAGCTAAAATATTTTAAGTTGTAAGTTCAGTATTATGGGTATTTTGTAATTGTTCCTTTATATTTCAATAATATCTATGGCTGTATTTAAGAAAGAAACAATTGCAATTCTAACTTACTTGAGTTTCATTTTTAAAGTAAGTACTGGAATGCTCTGTATTACCTACATCTTCGCAGCAGCACCAGGGTTTTGCATAAGGAAATGCACATGCTTGGAAAAAAAGGATACTTATACTCTTTAACTGAGATTAACTCTCATTCCAAACTGCTGTAATTACAACAAAGCCTTCCTGCTTTTCCCAGCAGTTGTCATTGCAAGGCAGCTGAAGGGCAAGTATGCTAAAAGAATTATCAAGCGTAGCACAAACCACATAGGTTCACTTGCCCACACAAAAAGGCACTTTATGGTTCATTTGAATTCTGTTTAACTTTTTAAAAGAACACTTCAGCTTAACTGCTACAAGAGCTACAAATTCTGATTTGTAAGAATGGGTGAAATCCCTGAAAATAAAACTTCTTTCCATATCCTTTTAGAATATACTTTTCACTTATATTACTATTCTATTACACATTATCCTCCTCCCTACTGTAATTATATTTTTTAAATAAAGTTCTTTCAAGAATTAGCCACAAAAATAAAAAAAAACCAACAAGTTATTCACAGATTCTTTTACAGTGCATATGAAGACAAAGAAAGTTGATCTCAGATTTGTTCTTTTCCAATTCTTGCAAAAGTATCTGTTACAATGTACAAAAGCATCATCCAAGCTGTCACTGTGAACAGGAAATAAGACACAGAAACCCTGAACATATTACACTTTCCTGGGGAGGCACCAGCACATCCCCAAGGTTAAGGCTCTGTAATCTATGCACTCTTGGTTCAGAAGGCTTGAACATGTCTGGCTCTGAGCTGCTAAATCATGCTATTTAGCCAAGCATTTTCACAATGATGTCTTTCCTTTGTCATTTCTAGAAGTCAACTATAGTTGGCATTTTTTAATACTGCTTTCTAATCTCCATTGTAAGATATTTTTATAGAAAATGACGTGAGTAAAAATCTGTTTTACATTAGCCTCACATAATGCAATGCATAATACAAAGAACATCAAAAAATGTTTCAATTACTAAAATATGTTCAATTTCAGAGGTGCATTTTTTCAACCAATCATTCAGAATTATGAGGGAATTTAAAGCTAGGAGACTCACTCTATACCAAACCTGTGATGTACTAAAACATAGGCATCTACTTTGGACAGGCATTCTTGCAACAGGTTTGTACCAGCCAGCTGTGTACTCCCCCTCTCTTCTATACAATGTCATTCTAGTAGATGGATACCCCTACTTGGAGTACTGGGTGCAGTTCTGGTGTTCTCAATGTAAGAAGGACGTGGGGCTGTTGAAGCAAGTCCAGAGGAGGGCCACAAGGATGATGAGGGGGCTTGAGCACCTCCCATACAAAGACAGGCTGAGAAAATTGGGGCTGTTCAGCCTGAAGAAGAGAAGGCTACGTGGAAGCATCACAGCAGCCTTCCAGTACCTGAAGGGGGCTTATGAGGATGACAGAGAGGGACTCTTCAACAAGGACTTCCATGACAGGACAAGAGGTAACAGCTTTAAACTTAAACAGGCGAAGTTCAGGTTAGATATAAGGAAGATATTTTTCACCATGGGGGTAGTGAGGCACTGGAACAGGTTGCCCTAAGAAGTCCTAAACGTGCCATCCCTGGCAGTGTTCAAGGCCAAGCTGGACAGAGCCTTGGGCAACATAGTCTAGTGTGAGTCCTCCCTGCCCATGACAGAGGAGATTGGAACTAGAGGATCTTAAGGTCCTTTCCAACCCAAACTTTTCTATGATTCTATGATATCATATGATTAATAGGTCAGGTCTTCAGCTCCTCTTTAAAAACAAATACATGAAAATAATCATTTTTATCTCCCTGTTTCCACTTTTTTTCAGGATTAATTCCTTCTTTTGTAAATACAAATGCAGTATTTCAGATTAAAAAATTTAATCAACAAATGGAAGACAAGACATTTAAAGGAATTCTAAATTAAAATCATGACTACTAACGACTTCACAAGCTGGAAGTATTCTAGGTTTCTAATCTCATCCTAGACCAGAGCTTTTAGCAGGGCAAGTTAAAAATGCATTCTCATATAAGAAAATAATATGATCACCATGCATGAGAGAAATATATGCATATAGGAATTTTTCAACAGGTGCTTCCACAGTAGGACTCCACAAACTTCACACAAATATGTTTTGAACACATACATACTGTTCTGTGCAAAGTAGGCATTCTTCCTAGACTGGCTGCCAGGGCTCCATCCAACTCCCAATAAAGTTGGTAGGATTTTTCACATTATTTTTCTGGGAGATAACCAACATCCCACTGAGCAGCTGCTTCTGTGAAAAAAAAAAAGAAGTTGTCTGTAAGCAATGAAGCAAATACAATTCTATAAATTAGCACCTTAATTCTCAACCCCTTGCTGGGTAACACAGCAAATTGCTGGTTCAGATCTACATGCATGCTATTGCTCAGACTCATATTTTAATTAAAGTTGCAGAAAGCAGCTCTGGCTTATCCAGCTTCGGAATTCACTGAAGTGAATTTAGAACTTTGAAGAGGTATGGCAGAGTCTGAGCTCTGGCTTTCTTAAGTGAAAACAAAAATCACAACACTAATATCACAACTTCAAACAGCTTTGAAGAAAAAAGTGAAGAAACAAAGCATTTAGTGGGTAAAACACATCCATTGTATGTCTTAAGGAAAAGTGGTTCTACTGAGATCTTTCATTTCCTAAAAGATTGGAAAAATAGGAACAGAATCTTTAGTTTTATGAAAGGATTTCTTCAAGACCAGATCTTAGAACATTTAGAGTAAAAGAGTTGATCTAGAAAACACCTAATCCTCAGATCCATTTAATCAACAGTCATTCAATCTTTTCAATCAATGGGAGGAAACTATCACTTATGTCTTATGAGTCTAACTTTCTAGTCATTATTTACATGAGCTAACATGCTTTAAGGATTCCTTATGGACATCTTGACTAAAAGTTACTTTATTAACAGTGTACTCAGTCATGTGTCATTACACCAACTTGCTTCACCAGATTATCGCTCTGGACTCTAAACTGTGGTTCTCCTGAATGCTAAGTTTAATGTAGTGGTTATTGATCTCAAAAGTTCCAATTTTGTAGAATTACCTGCAGTGATGGGGGAGAAGATTCCTTCTAGATTAATTTAGATGTAGTTTAGAGTATTTCTTTGAAAGGCAGAGATTGCCAAGAATTTCCTAAGTAAAGAAACTGTTGTATTCAGAACAG